TCCATCCCTTTATCCTCCCCATTTGGTTGGTTTTCCTCCCAACATGTTAAAGAGTTCCCTCCTTACAAAACAAGCAGCATGATGGACTACAGCAAGATTGTGAAGGGAGGTGAACTCTCCATTCTCCAGAACTTGTGTCTTTCTTTCTCCCCTTATGCATACAATAACGGGAAGGGCTCAAGCCATGCAGTGTGAGGGAGGCAACCTGCTAATTTGCCTAATCTTAGCATCCACATGCATCTCTCCTGCATGCACTGATATGGTAGATGGGTCTAAGCTCTCCCCTTTTTCTTTTCAGGACAAGCTGCGAACAGGAGAGAAGGCAGTAGTCCGTTTCAGGTTCATCAAGCATCCTGAATACTTGAAGATTGGAGCCAAGCTGCTTTTCCGTGAAGGAGTCACCAAAGGCATTGGGCATGTCACTGACCTCCAAGCCATCACCACCAAAGAAAACGGCCTGGAGGAGTCCCTGGGGCCTGGACAGCTGAGCTTCTGACTACCACTGGGGCAGAGAGATCTCCACTCACCAACACCCGGGGAGAAGGATGGAAGCTCCCGTGGCTCTCTGAGTGATGCCTGGAGCTGCTGCTGTCCCGTTCTAGTGTGGATGTCCCTCCTCCGCACTGTGAGATGGAGCCTGGGAGAGTTTCTCGCATTCAGTGCCGTACATGGGGCAAGTTAAGCATGTTCTCCACGTCGCCTGCAGCTTTCGTTACCCTGCCCTCCTTCAGAATAGATCAGAGGTACCTGCAGACCTGGGCAGGCAAGTTCTGGCTTTGTTTACTGTTTGAAAATTACTGGTTGGGAGGAGCAGAACCCTTGAAGACTAGCAGTGAAGGGATGTTTTTCTATCTCTGATACAAGATCTGGTCCCATTTCTGCTCTCTGAGCACTGGGTTGATAACAATCCTCTCTTGAGTCATCCTGCAGCACATCCTTCTGGGCAGGGAATGGAAGAGGCCCTGCTACCCGCAGCAGAGGCTTGGTTGAACCTCTCAGAATGCATTCAGGACACTTTTTAATCGTTTTATTCTTGGTTGGCTTTAATCTGCTGTGTGTCCATTTGTGTGTTGGTTTTGCATTACTCCAATCTGAGTGTCTTACCGTTGGACAAACGTCCTGTTCCCCACTCACACGTACGCACTCCTTCAGCATCCCGCTTTCTGGCTCCCGGAAAGCTGTGACTGCTCCGAGCGGCCCAGCCTCCCAACATAACGGTGTGAAGGCAGAGTTTGCACTTGCATCTGTTCCTTGCAGCAGCTGGACAGGAGGCCGTTCTGTGGAGCAGAGCGGGGCCTTGGGCCTGTGCTGGCCTGTGCAGGTTGTTTCCGTGGATGTTTGGCCGCAGGTGTCACCTGCGTGTCGGCAACGGTGGTTTGCAGTGGGCTTCCTGGTGTGGCTATTCCAGAGCCCAGCCCAGCTTGCTCCTCACATGCTTGCCTTAATGTGGGAGGAGGACAGGCTGTGTTACTAACACAGAACCAGGTAACTTCTGTTGTTTAGATGTGATTTGACAGTGGCGTGATTTTATTTGTGTTTCTCCTCGAGAAAGACTTTTTTTTTTTCCCCTTTGCCACTGGGGTTTGTTGTCAGAGGAAAGCTGGTGTTGCCAGCAAGGACTCTGTGCACAAAGAGCGGAGCACGTTTTGTCTCCCGCTCGCTGTCGTACAGCTGCCCTGCGTAGCCTGGAGGGTGCAGCAGGGGCTGTATAGCTGTACATAGGCTTTTGGTTTTATTGTTGACCGTTAGACCAAATGTGTCTGCTGTGAGCAAGACGCCTTCAGCCAGCCCTGTCGTGTGGCAAGACGGCCTGCCAGCCCTGACTGAAGAGAAGGGCGAGGGCCTGCGATAGCACTTGGACACCCAAACAGCCCTTCTGCCATCCTGAGAGCAAGTTCTGCCTCTGGGCTGCTGGCACAGGCACGGGGCTGAGCGGCCCGTGCTGATCTGTGGATGTCGCAAAGGGGGACTCTCCGCTGAGCTGGGCTCAGCTCTAGCAGGTGGGGAGGTGGCAGCTGCACCCCGCAAAGAGCAGGCTGAGGCGTGGGGAAGCCGGTGAAATGGTGGTATTAATAAATGGATTTGGAGGCAGCTCAGTAGTGACAGGAACAACCTGTCCCTTGAGGGGAGCACTGACCCCCCTGAAAACTCTGCTGCTTCTCTATCAGCCCAGCAGTGAGACAGGAGCTGCTGGCTCAGGGTCACTTTTCCAGCAGGATCCCTCTTTCTTCCCATCCTGGCGGTGGTCTGGGTGTTACGGTGGCATGGTCTTTCACCCATGCCTGCAAGAAGGACAGGCCCCAGCTGCCAGCAGGCTCTTCCCTTTGGTGCTAGTGGGTCACAAAGAAAGCTGCCTGGGGGTCAGGGGGGACGCCAGCTGTTTGCGGCATCCCTGGTGTTTTCTGCCCAAAGTGGGCATGGGGTGCTGTGACCTTCTCTGAAATAGCTGATGGCTGGTCTCACCTCACCCCTGCCATCTGTGGCATGACTGTTCTTGGTGCCATGCTCTTCATAATTGCTGTTTTGTTGTCTTGAATTTTTTCTAATGCTGGGGGTTGTCCCTGTTCCCCAAGCATCTATATATAAATGTACAGAATAAAGATGTTTTATTGAGCTTGCTGGCTGAGTTGTACAATGAGCGAGGGTGGAGCTGGGCTCTTGCCCTGCTGCCCTTGGAGCTGGGTCACGGCTGGAGATGGCTACCCTTCACCTCTTCCTAAGCTCCCTGCATTCAGCCCGATAAATACCGTCCTGCAGCGTGAAGGAATGCACGCACGCTGCTGTTTACAACCGTGCTGTCTCTCCTGGCTTATCTGAGCAAGCCTGGGTGTGCAGCCTGGGGTGACAGGCAGCCACGTCACCCTGAGCGCAGCACTTCGGGCTGTTGTGGGTGGAACAGGCTGTGGTGAGTGCTTCCTCGCAGCCACAAATTCCCCCAGAGCCTAATTAAAGGCATGCTTTCTAGGGCACACATCTAACCAGTGGTTTGTTTTTATATATAGCTTCGACCTTATCAAGGGGTTTGCGACTGCCTTCTCTCCATGAGAACAGATTGTTCCCTTGGGACAGGCAGAGGCAGAAGGGCTTCCCTGCGGAGGTGACTTGTGTCACTGAAGGGATTTGCCTGTTCTCAACTTGGTTTAGTGTCAGGTAGTGGCATCTGCAGAGTCCGGTCCTGCCAGACACTTAGGAAATGAGCCGTGCTGCTGTCACCGGGGCGTGAGGCAACCCTGCCAGACTGGTTGCTATTTCTCTTTACGTGAGGACTTTGGGAAACTTGTCACCTTGCAAGGCGAGGACTGTCATTAATGGGAGTGACTCGGTAATTCTTTCCTCTGCTGATTACCAGCAGAGCTGCATGCACCAGAACGAGCTTCTTGTACTTCCTGAAATCTCACAACAACTCTGTTGTCAAGTCTTAGACCTCTGCTGACAGTAACGTAGCAGCTTCCCAGCACAGGCTGCCTGCTGGAAGGAGAGCAGCTCCACAGCTGCAAGTAGGATGGGGCAGTTCAGAAAAGAAGGGGAAACAGCACATGCAAATACAGCTGCACTTTGCATCATTATCTGCTGCCTGAAAGGCTCTCTCTTTCCCCCCCCTGCTCAGGGAGGGGAAGCCCGCAGCTGATGAAACTCTCTGCAAAGTGTGTTTTCCAAACCCCACCCAGCGCTGCCTTGACGTGGCACGTTCCTTCCCCCTGCTCTAAGAGCTGAGTTCAAATTATTGCAGCAGTACTTCTGGAAGAGACCGTCGGGCTCCAAGCAGCTAGCGGCGTGGCACGGAGCTGAGCCCTGCCAGGCAGCTGAGGGCAAGCACATCTCTTGCCCTGGAGCCGCTCTCACCTTTTCTCAGTGCCCGCTTGTCCTCTCCACGGCATTCTGCTTTGGCTGTTGTAATTTGTGGACCACTGGGGCAGCCACTGTGATGTGAACTGTGGCCCAGAGCTGACACAAAAACAGATACCATGCATGTAGTATCACCAAGAGTCTGGGAAGGAGGGAAAATGGGGTTATACGCTCTTTCTACGATGGAGGAAAGCTTTCACAGAGGACTCTGTGACTCTGGCATGTTGCCCATCCCTTCCATGAGGAGTCTAGCAGTAGACTGTTTATATGTAAATAGCAATTATCAGGAACTGGTGCTGTGATTTCAAAAAGCCCAACAAAAAGCGTGCCTGTGCAGCTCCAGCTTCCTCAAATCTTATTTGACAGGAGCAGTCTTTCTTGTGCACTCCAGAGCTGGTGATAAGCATCACACAATGGACTGCTACAGAGTGGGAATTGCCAAACTGCCTGTAACAAAAATCCTGGGGCAGGGGTGGGGAATCAAGATGAGCATCTTCCAAGTGGAGAGGGAAAAAGGAACCACAGGGCTGAGCTACCATATATGTTATACAGTAAGGGGAAGGTCTGCAACTGCAGCCAGAGGGGAACCGCCATGAGGTGAAGGCTTCATACTAAGTGACTGGATAGGGGTTCAAGCCTAGGCTTGGCTGGAGATGCCCTGGAAGCAGCCACTGTGCTTACGTTACCTGCTTTTACAGTAGGAACAGAAAGCTGTAGCAACAGAATTGCCGAGCAGTGATGCTGTGGAAATACCCATGACAAGACAATGCAGCTTCTGGTAGCACCAAGCAGGCAGAGGCAAGCTAGTTGCCACCAGCTCAACTGGGTACATTCAGCATCACACAGAATTCACAAGGTCCAGTTCCTCTTAGATGCAGAGATAATTTATTAGACTTTTCTGCATTAAAACCTGACAGGCAGTATAAAAAAATTTTAACTGTATTTAAAAACACTGGTTCTATAAAAATACTGGTTCTTTAAAAACATTGGTTCTTTAAAAACTCCCAGCATGGCTGGGAGTTAAGGAGGTTAGCGCTTAAAGAAAAAATCTAAAGTTCTTGTCACACCTCCTCTGGGTCGTTTTGCACTAGATCCTGCTGA